TTTTTTTTTGAGACAGGGTCTCACTATGTAGTTGAGACTGCCCTGGAACTCACTATATAGCCCAGGCTGGTCTCTATCCTCCTGCCTCAGCCTCCCGAGTGCTGGGATTATAGGTGTGCACCATCACGCCTGGCCCCAGTTCATTTCTTGATAGCAGCTATTCTTTCTGGAATGAGATCGAATCTCAACATTATTTTAATTTGCATCTCTTGAATGACCAGTGGTGTTGAACATTTTTTCATGTATTTATTTGCTGTTTCTACTTCTTCATCTGAGAAATGTCTTTTCATTTCAGGTGCCCATTTTTGGATTGGCTCTTTAAATTTGGGGGGGTCCTGGTTTTTTGTTTTTTAGTTCTTTATACATTCTCTATATCAGTTCTTTGAGGAACAACTGGCAATAAATTTTTTCCCACACTGTGGGTTGTCTCTTCACTCTGTTACTTTCTTTTGCCGTGCCAAAGCTTTTTAATAAGATGAGATCCCAGTTGTGGATTCTTTGTGCTATTTCCTGTGTGGTTGGGATTTTGTTCATAAAGTCTTTGACTAAACCAATATCTTCAAGAGTTCTACCTATTCTGTCTTCCAGCAGATTTAGTTTCTGTTTTAATATTTAGATCTTTGATCCATTTTGATTTGAGTTTAGTGTATAGTGAAACATATGGGTCTATTTTAATCTTCAGCGTGTGGAAAGCCAGTTTTTTCAGTACCATTTATTAAAAAGGCTACCTTTCTTCCAGTGAAGGTGTTTGACTCTTTTGTCAAAGAAAAGGTGGCTGATTGTGTTTGGAGTTGTTTCTGCATCTTCTAATCTGTTCCATTGATCCACCAGGTCTATTTTTTGCCATTATCATTGTTTGTTTTTTTTAATCACAGTAGCTTTGTTAATGTGGGGTCACCTTTGTTGCCCAGAATTGTTTTTGCTATTCTAGGCCTCTTCTGGTTCCAAATGAATTTTAGGATTGTTTTCTCTAATTCTGTGAGGTATGTTATAGGTATTTTGATCAGGATTGCTTTAAATCTGTATAACAATTTTAGAAGTATTGCCATTTTCACTATGTTGGTTCTTCCTACCCAAGAACAAGGGCTATCTTTCCATTTTCTATTATCTTTCTCAATCTCCTTTTTCAGAGTACTGTAGTCTTCCATGTAAAGGTCTTTTAACTACTTTGTTAGATTGATTCCTAGGTATTTATTTTTTATTCTTTATACTATTGTGAAAAGTGTAGTTTCCCTAATTCCTCTCTCAGTGAGTTTGTTATTTTTGTACAGGAATGCTATTGATTTTTGAATGTTAACTTTGTATCCAGCTACACTGCTGAATTTGGTTATTAAATCTAGAAGGATTTTGGTGGAGTTTTTGGGGTCTTCTATGTAGAGTATATCATGTCATCCACCAAAAAATGATAATTTAACTTCTTCCTTTCCTATCCTTCTGTCCTTATTCCTTTTATTTTTTTCTCTTGTCTAATTGCTCTGGCTAATGTTTCTGGAACTATATTGAACAAGAGTAGGGACAGTGGACGTCATTGTCCTGTTCAATTCACCCACATTGAAGTACACAATTCAGTGGTTTTTAGATTACTGTACAACCAGCTGCACAATCAGTTTTTATTTTTTATCACCAAAAGAAATCATCCTTCACCCAACTTCCATTTGCAAATTCTAGGCATTCCATTTGCAGTTTCCCTCAGGATCTTCAGGGTATTTGTTCCAGAACCCCCAGATACCAAAACCCATAGATGCTTAAGTGTCTTGTATAAAATGGTGTAGCATCTGCTTTTAACCTATACATCCTGCCATATAACTTACACCAAATACAATGGAAATGCTATGGAAATAGTTGTTGTGCTGTCATGTTTAGGGCCAATGATAAGGAAATAAGGAAAACAAGTCTGCACATGTTCTGTACAGACACAGCCATGCTGACAACATAGAACCCATCTGGGTTGGGTGAATTCACAGATGCAAACCACACACACAGGGGAAGGACTGACTGTGAATAGAATTAAACAATATGTGGTCTTTGTGTCTGGCTTCTTCCGCTCAGCATGATGTTTTCAAGGTTTGTCCATGTAATTACACATTAGCATCAGTGCCCGCTTCCTGTCTTTTTTAGGGGGGTGTTCTGGGGATTGAACTCGGAACCTTGCGCTTGCAAGGCAGATGGTGGAACCACTGAGCTACATCCCTGCCCCCACCCCCCTTCCTTCGTATTGACAGATAACATTGCACTGCAGGGATACATACTTGTGGTTTATCTACTCATCATTGGGTGGCTTAAGGCAAAAATAGAGTCATTTTTTTCTCCCCTAAATCTCGTTCTTCTTCCTTTATACTCTAAAAGCCTGACTCTGAACGTTGTAAGGTCAGAGAACCAAAGAGCCAAGAACAACCCTATTTGCTTAAAGCCCTAAGGAATAGCTAACTATAGTTCATAGCTCTGTCTACTTTGGCCTACTGTCTCCCCCAGTAATGGATGGATGTCTTTCAGAAATCACAAGAAAGTGTGTATATCCTTCAGCCTGGGATCCCCAACACCTAGCATTGAGCCTTGCACATAGGCGCTCAATAAAAAGGCATCCTCTGACTAAGTCTGTGCTGAACAACCTGTTCCCTGGGTGGGGAGGTCTATAACCGCTGTACCCTGCTAATGAGAGGCTACCCTTGCCTTGCAGTCATCAAGAGCCCCCCTGGTTGGGAGGTGGGTGTCTATGCCGCAGGGGCCCTGGCACTGCTGGGAATCGCAGCTGTGAGCCTATGGAAGCTCTGGACGTCAGGAAGTTTCCCCAGCCCCTCCCCGTTCCCCAATTACGACTACAGGTACCTTCAGCAGAAGTATGGTGAGACCTACCCGGAGGCCAGGCCGAAGGTGAGGCTCCTGCTCCTTCAGATGCATGCCTGGGGTGCCCGCCCACCCCTCCCCCACTCTGGCTCTGTCCTGGTTAATGTCCTCCTGTGAGTGGGCACCAGACCTCCTTGTCCCCCTCAGATCCCCTATTCCTAGCCCACTGCCAGGGAGTCAGTAGATACTTATTGAATGAATGAACACTTTCAGTTTTAAAAACCTAGGCTGGGGATGTAGCTCAGCAGCACAGTGCCTGCCTGGCAAGTGCAAGGTCCTGAATTCAATCCCTGGAATGGGGGGGGGGATCCTGCAAACAACAACAAAAAAACCATGAATAAGAATAAATAAGAGGGAGACTGTTTCCTCAAGTACCACCACTATCCAACTGTGAAGTTTTTCTTCCCTTCCTTCCTTCTTCTTTCTTCTATTCTTCCTTTCTTCCTTCCTTTCTTTTTCTCTTTCTTCAGTACTAGGAATTAAACCCAGGGTGCACTATCACTGAGCTACATCTACAACCCTTTTGTTTTTATTTTGAGACAGCATCTCACTAATTTGCCTAGGCTGAATTTGAATTTAAGATCCTCCTTCCTCAGCCTCCCAAGTGCTGCAATCACAGACATGAGCCACCAATGAGCCCAGCTCTAAACTGACTTTTTAATATATTTCTTTTCAGTATTTTTAATCTACTCCCTTCCTTTATTTTCTATGCATACTTTTTAATACAGTGGGTATCACATCTCCATGGGATTTTATACCCTACTCTTTTTACTCCACTTATAACAGAAGTATTTTGTGCTGTGGTTAACAACTGGCATAAATATCATTTTAATGGGTGAGTACAATTCCTTTTTGTGCATGTCCCATGATTTACTAAATGACACTCTGAATAACACAACAGATGATTTGTATGTGAAATTCTGTCTTCATTTGGGATGATGTACTTTAGATAGGTACCCAGATATGGAATTACTGTATCTGGGGTACAGATATTTTTAGGGCTATCAGTATGTATTGCTGGATGTCTCATTTGCAGAAAATGTTTCAGATATCATATAGCATTCCAGAGAGTACGGCATGCATCTGGTACTGAGCTTTTAGTCCCTCAAGTTCACTCATTTGGGGTGCCCAGGGGATCATTCACAGTCTTGGTGGGGGGATACAGGTTGGAAAAACCTTTCCAAAGAGTATTTTGACAACATAACAAAAGCCCTCAGAAACACTGTCCTCTGAGCCAGGAATTTTAAGAAAGCTATTTGATGCTTCATTATTTATATTTATGAAAAAAATTAGAAACAACATAAGTGTCCAACAGTAGGGAAATAGTAAATTATAGTTACCTGCTCAATAGAAAATTGGGGGCCGTTAAAAACAATGGTAAGGAAGATACGGGAAATGCTTATGATAAGGGCATTTGCTTTCTCAAATCCCAAGGTTAAGCCAGAGAAAAGTTCAGATATTTGGGTGATTCCCAGTATGAAAGCTTTCTTGTGTGGTAAACAATTTTGTAATTTTCCTTTGAGGCTACTTAGCCATCTACTGAGTGGCCAACCCCTATTAGTGTAACCCATTCCCGCTCTGTGAGACACTTAGATTGCTAACTGCTTTTCCTTTTTTATCATCACTGCAGCCAGGCATAATGGTACATGCCTGTAATCCCAGTACTTGGGAGGCTGAGGCAGGAGGATTGTCACAAGTTTGAGGACAACCTGGGCTACAGAGTGAGTTCAAGGCCAGCTTGAACTACACAGTGGCACTTTGTTTCAAAAATGAATTATAAGGGTAGGGATTTAGCTCAACGGCTCTGCACCCACCTTGTAAGCACAAGATCCTGAGTTCAATCCCTGGTATCAAAAATAAAATAAAATAAAATAAAAATAAAGAATTATAAATATCACTGCAGTTGACATCTTTATTGATGGAATTCTGTCCCAATAAATAAACATGTTGAAAAAAATGTTTTCTTACATTCTGGTTAAGATAGAAAACAAGGGCTGGAGATGTAGCTCAGTGGCACTGCACCTGCCTGGCAAGTGCAAGGTCCTGAGTTTGATCCATGGTACCAGAAGAAAAAAAAAAGAGAGAGAGGAAAAAAATAAAATAAAAGGAACACCATAGTTATTAGTAACACAAAATAACATTAAATAAGGACATTCCTAGCTAAAGGATGTACCGGTTTTGTAAAAGGGGATCTTGAAGGTGCCTTGAATGAGCAGAGTTTGTGGTATCTCTTCGCTGGCTCCTAAAGATGGTGGTACCTGCCTGTAGTCCCAGCATTCTTGGAAGCTGAAGCAGGAAGATCACAAGTTCACACCCAGGCTGGGCAACTTAGTGAGATCCTGTCTTAAAATTTAAAAAAGGACCAGGGATGTAGCTCAGTACGAAGGCTCTGGTCTCAGTCCTAGTACCTTAGAAACAAAACAGTGCCTGGAGCCCTTGTGATGCTTCCATGTCCCTTTTGATCACCCCCAGAGAGCTCCTGCCTGGAATGCCCCACGGACCAGCACTCGGGGGCCGTCCAGTCGCAAAGGTAGCCTCAGCATTGAGGACACCTTTGAGAGCATCAGCGAACTGGGGCCGCTGGAGCTGATGGGCCGGGAGCTGGACCTAGCCCCCTATGGGACACTCCGGAAATCCCAGTCGGCCGACTCCCTGAACTCCATCTCCTCCGTGAGCAACACCTTTGGGCAGGACTTCACACTGGGCCAGGTGGAGGTGAGCATGGAGTACGACGGTGCCTCCCACACCCTGCACGTGGCCGTGCTGCAGGGCAAGGACCTCCTGGAGCGTGAGGAGACCAGCTTCGAGTCCTGCTTCATGCGTGTCAGCCTGCTGCCGGATGAGCGGATCGTGGGCATTTCCCGGGTAAGTGATGCTGTGGGGGTGCAGAGGGCCACCCAGCAGGGCCAGGGGGAGTCCCACGGGGACACTAGAGAGCAGCCCTGGATGCAAATCCAGAGCAGAAGGTGCCCACCTTCCTGTCCCAAAGACAGAGCCGCATTCTGTGCATAATCCTCAGCCCTTCTATCATAAGAGTACCGTGTGCCTGCCATAACTGTTCATCTCCATGTCTGTCCCCGTGTCACATGGGGCTCTGGCAGGACAGGGATGACCTGCTAAACTGGCTAACAGGGGAGAGCTTAATGACAGGACTGTTGGAGGAGGAAGATGGTGGTTCTCTAACCCTATTAATAGGAGGTCTGAAGGGATAAGAGAAAAGACAGGCTCTGGGCTAAAAATTTCATAGCCGCCTTGATGGGATCTGTGCCCTTTAGTCGAGGGATGTGGTCAGTCCCCAGGAATACTGTAGATAAGGGTCTTGGTTTCCCTCTGGTGACCCTGGTACCTAACCCCACCAGAAGGCAGAGTCCAAAGGGGCAGGTTGACACAGGAGGTCTACGTAGATCAGCCCCTGGGGCCCACAGTAGAGGAGGACAGAGCAGAGGTGGCACATACCTCTAATCTCAGCACTCTGGGAAGCTGAGGCTGGAGGACTGCAAGTTTCAACCTAGCCTGGGCAATTTAATGACTTAGCAAGACCCTGTCTCAAAAAATAAAAAGGGCTCAGCATGTAGCTCAATGTGAAGGCCTTAGGTTCAGTCCCCAGTACAGAAAAGAGAGGAAATAATTTCAGGCATCACTAAAAAAAAAAAAGAAAGAAGGAAAAAGAAAGTAGAGAAGAAGGAGAGGGAAGATGAGGAAAAGGGGCCAGAGACCCCGGTCCTTGACAGAGGGAGCCAAGTCAACATGACCCTTCCTGCCCAGCAGCAGGTGGCTCCACGCTAGCAGGGGCCCATAGCTGGGACCCTTCTGAGATGGACAAGGTGGCCATCCAGTGCCTTCTGGCCAGATGGGAGCAGCCTGAGAACCTGAAGGACCAAGCATTTTCTGACTCTCCCAGACATCTGTGCCCACCTGTGCCCAGGCACTTTTACTACACTGAATCCTGGCTGGCCGGCCCTGTCATCTCTCTCCCACCCTACTCTGCCCCATCACTCTAGAAGGTCTAGAACTTACCACCAGTAGGGAGCACAGAGGGGGATGGGTGGCCTGGCTTTGTAGAGGCAGTACAGTAGGCAGCAAGAAGTCAAATTGCAGCCTGACTTCTGGGTTCAAATCCAGTTCCACCACTTCCTACCTGTGTGACCTTGCGTAAGTCACGTATCTGTCAAATTCACATCATAGTTATTGGGGAAAGGATGGGTTAATTCAGGTCAAGTCCTCAGCCCACTCCCTCTTCTGTATGGCTCTTGGGAAAATGAAGAGCTACTGTTAAGGCTGATCCATGCTGCCCATGGCCTGGGCCACCTGAAGGACTCTGGATCATTCATAACATATCCCTTAAGGAGGAGCATTGGCAGACAACAGGCACCACAACCTGGTGTACACTCAGCTGAGTACCTGCCCCACAGAGCCCAGTGCATCCATAATTTCTCATTAGTCCCCTGAGGTCAACAGGATGGACTGTTGGAGCAGTTTACAGATGAGGAAACTGAGCCTTAGAAAGTGCTTTGTTCAAGACAGGCCCAGCAAGGGACTCACACCCAGGGTTCTCATTCTCCTTTACTGTGTGCCCATAAAGCACAGTGCTCAGGCTCCCAGATGGCTGGAAGCCTGAGCCCCCATGGACAGGGAGCAGCCAGGACACTAGTTTGGCCAGGACAGAGATGGGGCCAGGGATCACAAAGATCCTGAATGCCAAGGTCAGGAGGCCAGGAGGAGGGCTTTGTCCATGGGGCCAAGGGGGCCTGGAAGAGTCTCAAATCAGGGGACTATGTGAGCAATGTGGCTCCCAAGGGCCACTGTAGGAGGATTCCTTTCCAGAGCTGGGCAGTGACAGAAGAGTATGGCCAGTGTGGCTGGAGGAGGTAGAGGATTTGTTCCCAGGAAAGCAGGCTTCATAGCACCACAACTCAGTCAGTCCCACGAAGTAGGCAGCTGCTGCATGCAGGGTAGCTCCCCTGCTTCAGAGAAGGTGCCAGGGATGAGAACTCCTCTCTTTAAATATCACGGGTGGTGACTAAGGCAGCCCCCCACCCCCAGAGCATGGAGCAGTGCCCACAAGTTTGCCTCACCCAAGGACCTGCCCACAGCTTCCTGGGAGGAGGCTAGTGGCACCCACCAAGCAGGACTGAGCATGAAAACAGAGCCTGCCCACCTTGCCTAGTCACGCCATCCACCGGTCTGCCCTCTATCTACCATCCATCCTACCGTGTTGACACGGGCCTGGGACACGGGCTGGTGACTACCCAGACAACTGTCCTACCTCATTGCATGCCTGACACTAAAAAAGGATTCACTAGGCTCAGATAGGAGCATTGAATGCCATGCCACTATATTGGCCACCACTGAGGAGAGGACATGGCACTATTAAACCTTTAAGACTGAGCCACCAAAGCAAGGCTTGGCATTGAGACTGTTGGGACAGGACAGAATCCTCAGGTCTCTGGACTCCATGTCCAGTGCTCTCTTCCTACTGCGGCCTCCAGGCCCCTGGCTACCTCCTCAGCTTCCGTGTGCCCTCCATGGCCCTTTCTTGCTGCAGATCCAGAGGAATGCCTATGCCATCTTCTTTGATGAGAAGTTCTCCATCCCACTGGACCCCACAGCCCTGGAGGAGAAGAGCCTGCGGTTCTCCGTGTTTGGCATTGATGAGGACGAGAGGAACATCAGCACGGGGGTGGTGGAGCTAAAGCTTTCTGTGCTGGACCTTCCACTGCAGCCCTTCAGTGGCTGGCTTTACTTACAGGACCAGAACAAAGTAAGTCTGACCTGCTCGTCCACCTGTGGGCAGAGCACACACAGGTACACTTCCAACTTGGGACTCCATTGTCCTTTCTGCCACAGCTTGACATCGTTAGGAGAGCGGAAGAGACCAGGCCACATTTGAGGAAAGTACTTAACTGTATGCAGTGACAACACAAACAACAACAAAAAAAATCCTGACCAGTTTATAGTCTTTTCCACCAAACGTTTAGAGGCTACACTTACAAGGTTTGGTTAGGAACACACAGCTCTGACTCCAAAGCAGCAAAGCTTCGGCTTGTCTTTATAAGTGTAAGATGCCGGAGGTACATAATTGTCATTTAAGCAAAGGATGTCATTCCATTCTACTTGTGTCTCTCTGCACTACTGTCAAAGAAAGTTTTCCTTGGTCTGGAAGGAGGGAACAAAATTGCATTTGATTGATGTGTTTGACAGGCAACCTCGGGACCTCCTTCCAAGGCAGAGGCCACACCTGGCTCAAAGGAGGGGTGGTACATTCTTCATGGTGTGGCAGGGGCCGGGGCGCCTTTCTCCATCCTGCCAGCCCAGCGCCTGGATGTAAGGGGTCCCAAGAGCAGTAACTTTTTGATGGAGAGGGAAGTTTCTTACTCTTCCCTGGACTTTCAGGTCCTGGGGGCAGAAGCCCTCTGAGACACACCTGTCCCCCCAGGCTGCTGATGCGGTAGGAGAGATCCTGCTGTCCCTTAGCTACCTGCCCACAGCTGAGCGCCTCACTGTGGTAGTGGTGAAGGCCAAGAATCTCATGTGGACCAGTGACAAGACCACAGCAGGTAAGGCCCTGCTGGCTGCCTGGCTCCACCATGTGACCCCAGCCATGTGTCACGAGCACCTGGCCACTTCAGCATGTGTGCAGCACAGGACCAGGGCCCCCATGGCTTCCGCTTAGCTCGAGAGCCAGGCATGGCTGGTGGGAAGATTAATCCAGCTGGGGAAACATGGGAGCCCGGCAGGGGCAGGGGTGCGTGAAAGCAGAGAGATGGGCGGGTGGCAGTGATGGAGTCTGAGAGCAGAAGTCAGGACTCAGGCTGTGAGCACTGGGCGGGGAACCAAAGTTCTCATCTGCTTCTCAGAATTGGAGTTTGAAATGGACACTCCATTCCCAGAGACACAGGAGCAACCCGGACTTCAAACAGGGAGCAGGGCCACCATTTCACGCGGGTTGTAGGCAGGACCTGTTCCCCAGCTCTACAGCAGCCTTCTGTGACTCCCAAAGCAGGGACCCATGAAGGCAGCTATAATGGGTAGCCAAAGTGGGGACCCCAGCCACTGGGAATCACAAGCCTAAGGTGGGCGCAGTCCAGGTCCAGGCACGCACAGCAAGAACACCCAGTGGGCGAAAGCTGATGGCCAGACAGTGACTTGGTATTTAGGAGCTGTACACCGTTAGGTCCTGCTGAGGTGGTACTGGGTGACTCACAGCTGACGTCTGTGCTCAGCCATTTATAGAACAGGAAGTGATGGGTCTGCCAAGCTCTGTGGAGCATCATATGAGGGGAATGTGGGGGCTGTGAGGCTGGCTGGCAGTCCACAGCCCAGACCTTGCCTGACTTGCCACGTAAGCCTCAGTTTTCTCATCTGTAAAATGGAATTTAATATGCTATAGAGCTGGGCACCATGGTGCTTATCTATGGCCCAGTTATTCAGGAGGCTAAAGCAGGAGGGTCCTTTGAGCCTAGGAGTTTAGGGCCAGCCTGGACAACACAGATCCCATCTCTCTAAACAAACAAACAATAAACAAAATCATGAAGTTCCAATGGCAAAGCTACTGGCAATAGTGGATGAAGGGTTGGGGAGTTGGAACCAAGCAAATGTGGCACTGGCCCTCACCTCACCCCACTCATCTGTAGACCCCTTCGTCAAGGTGTACCTGCTGCAGGATGGGAGGAAGATGAGCAAAAAGAAGACAGCAGTGAAGAGAGATGACCCCAACCCAGTGTTCAATGAAGCCATGATCTTCTCAGTGCCAGCCATTGTGCTCCAGGTGAGGGGACAGTGTCACCCTGGGCTCTGGACCACGGCACCTCTCTGCCTTCACTTCTTGGGCTCCTGCCATCACCTTTCCAGTTGAGAAGCATTTATCAAGTGCCTGGGGTGCCAGCCTCGTGGTAGATGTTGGGGACACAAGCACTTCTTTCTTGGTACTTACAAGAGACAGGCAGAAAAGTCCCCAGACAATGGTAACCCACTAAGAACATCCCAGACCTTAGCAAGCAGGGGAATCCCACAGGATGGGACAGCTCAACTAAGCTCTGAGTGAGTGGAGGGACCTTCAGGGCCCGGACATGAGCCAGGGTCACCCCAGAGCCCAGAGCTGTAGCTCTCAATCTCCTGAGCTTCTAATATAGGAAACCTACCTGGCTCCCCACAGCTTCCTGAGGACCATGTGCCCCAGGGAGAGCCCTTCTAGCAGGAACATCACAGACCATGGTGATGGGAAATGCCAAAGACACGGCTTTGGCTACACGAGTGGCCCGGCTTTCATGCCTCAGAAGGTGGGAATCTCACCACCTCCGCTCCCTGTCTCATTCTGTCCTTATGCACTCTAAACAGTGAGGAGGTCCTTTGTGCCTTAAGTCAAAACCTGTCCTCATAGCCCTGAGCTGTACAGAGCTTACCTAATCTCCCCTGGGATGCCCCACCTGGATGGTCCAGACCTTTGCCTCACACTGGCTATCTCTAATCCGGGCAGATATCCCAGCCTCTCCACCAATCCCGGGCATTGTAGCCTTGCCTTGTCACCCTTGTGGGACAGGCTGCCCATCTGGCCCTTGTCTTCCCCTGGTGCTCACTGTCCCACTACTCCAACTGACATAAGGATTAGTGATAACCAAAGACCCCTGTGGTGCCCTGGCTGTGGGCAGATATCATCCCACGCATTTAACTCATTCACTCCTGGAACAGCAGCCCTGTTATATTTTAGGATGGGGACACGGGCAGCAAGAGCACAAGTTGCTGCCAAGGCCACAGCAAAGAATAGTAAGGCTGGCATTTGAACCGTACTGGTCTAATGCCACCACGATCTGGAAGCCAGGTAGATCGAGGGCAAATCTTTGTCTGCCATATATTTGACAGGTGACCTCGAACATGTCTTCTCAAGTCCCAGATCAGGGGGTGGGTTCAGGGAGCTTTGCTTGGCACCCCATGAGCCAGGCATTTATAGACTGGGACCTAAGAGTCAAGGAGGACCTCTGGCAGCTCTTGGCCCTCACCACCCATGTTCTCTCCTCCCCAGGACCTGTCTCTCCGTGTGACAGTAGCTGAGAGCAGCAGTGATGGCCGTGGGGACAACGTGGGCCATGTCATCATTGGGCCAGCAGCCAGTGGCATGGGTACCACACATTGGAATCAGATGCTGGCCACATTACGCAGGCCTGTGTCTATGTGGCACCCTGTCCGGCGAAACTAGCAGCCAGGGCGGGCCAGGTGGGCAGCAGAGCCACTGGGGCCTGGCACATACTCAACTCTGTCCAAAGCCCTCTTCATAGCCCAGCGGGAGCTGTGAACACTGGGGTTTCTGGGTGGAGTCCCCATCAGTCTTCTTGGACCCTCTGTCCAGACTACAGTGGAGGAGCAGATGTACTTCTGTATCTAGGAAGCCAAGGTTTTCTACTGAGGACCAGCTCTGGCTGGGCCAGGACCCATGGAGGGCAGCAGATGCTGGCCAGTTGTATACCATCTGGAGGTCCTCACAGGGTTCATCCCTTGACCTGCAGGGAGACTTGGGCTCTCAGAGCTAGCAAGCTCCCCCATCCCACTCCTCCTAGGAAGCCAGCTGCCAGGCTGGGCCATGCACAAGAACAGGCAATTCTTGGGCCAGCACTGTGTTTGGCACTGGCAGGGCTCTCAGGAATAAAATGAAGCCCCCAGGTCACCAGGAAGTCAGGACTCTATCGCCCAGGGGATCTGCTCAGTGCCAAAAGACAGCTAGCATGTGGACTCAGGGTAGGATCTGAGAGCTGGGGGACATGGAGGGCCCCACAGACAGGAAGGAGCTGTGCTCTTCAGGATAGGGAGGCAGGGACACAGGTCAAGTAGTGGCAGAAATGTGAACTTTTGAACTTCCTGACGTAAGCATAGTCCTCAGCTCACTCCATTGAAGACAAGAGCCTCTCTCTGGGCTGAAGAAGAGACCAAGAGACCAGACTCGAGCAGAAGACTGTAGGCCAGATTGTGGCTCCAGGGTTACTGTCCATGAAATCTGTTCCTGGAACATCAACCATCACAAGAACCAGAATCGCAGAGGCCCAGAGCAAGGTCCTTGTGCAGGGTCTGTGCAAAATCAGCCCCTTCTCTGGTGGGAACCCCTAGGACACTGAGCATCCTGGGTCAAGTTTCCTAAAACGGTGACTTCAGTAGATGTTCAGCCTCAGCCTGAAGGCAATGGGGAGCTCTAGAGGGGAGAATGTGCACCCCAGGGGTGCTTCTGCCCAGAAGTACAGGAGCTGAGCTACTACATCAGTCTTTGGCTTCTGGCCCTGCTCCGGGTAAAGTGAGGGTGTCACACCCCTGCAGGTGTCACCAAATGAGGAGCAGCTGTCACATACCAAAAGCAGACCCAGAGAAGCAGCAGCTTTCTGCTCTTTACTGAGAGGGGTGGAGCACCTTCAGGGTTAAAGAGATGGAGGGGTAGGGGTGGGATGTACAACAACAGCGTCTGCTCTGCGGGGCCACTACCCACAGGTAAGAGGGCGACTCTCAGGCTGGCTCCCCTTATTCCTTAGCCATGGTGAGCTGTGGAGCCTCGGGCCCAACCAGCTGTCACCAATGACTTGGGAGAGATAGCTTGAGCAGGTGTCCAGAAGGGTTATGGGACTGAACCAGGACTCCCTGACACCAGAAAGTCAGCACAGGGATACACATGGCTCTCAGCCCTTGCTGCCCAGGAGACCCCAGACCCTTTTGAACCTTGGGGCTGTGTAAGGCAGGCTGTGTCCTCCCACCTTCTCTTCCCTCATTCCCTCCCCCTAACTGCATGAAATGGTGACCATGGAGCCCGGGTGGCCATGGTGGGGACTGTGAATGCTGACTGGAATGATTCTAGAACCAAAATAAAGCTGGGGCAAGAAGGGGGCTTCGAGGGAGCCCGGCTCAGTCCCTATCTTCTTCGTCTCTTCTCCAAAAACAGGTTCTCAGGCCCCATTGGTTGACTGCATGCCCCATCCTGAAGCCCCTGCCTAGCTGGGGAGACCAGCACAATGTCATCAGGCTCTCTGGAAAGCTCTGAGGGGACCCTGAGCCACCCTGGCAGGGGACAATGGTGATGGGGAAATAATGGAAGGCTGCCTGCTGGTGCCCTCAGCCGAGTCTTCAGGGCAAAAAGGGACATGTCAGGTGGGCAAGGCAGGAAAAGATTCCTGACAGAGAAAAGATTACATATCAAAAAGTAGGGGTGAGCAAAACCTGAGCTGATTTATCCACCTTGCTAGAGCAAGGAGAGGAAAGAATGGAGCCAGGGGACCGGTCCCAAAGAGAGGATCACTGCTTGTGGAGTGAGTGCTGGTGCCCAGCCTGTGACCCTGCTTTAGAGCAGACAGGGTACTGCTATCATATCCCCTTCTCACAGGTGTGGAAACAAACTCAGAGAAGTTAGGCCCAAGATTACACAGCCAGAAAGTCCCAGAACAGTGATTCAAATTCAGCCTGGCCGACTATAGGTTGATAACACAGCCCCTTTCCTTGACTCCTCAAAGGTGGGGCTGAGGGGAAGCAGAGAAACCCTCTGGGATTCCAGCATGTTCTGGCTTCTTTCCTTCCCTCCCCTGGAAGAGCAGACATGGACATGGATGAAGAGAGTTCCCAAGAGGCCTCTCCTGCCATGGCTGACTATGAAGAGCTCCGGGGAGCCCCACACATGCCTGGACAGACAGGAGGAACTGGCTAGGCAGCTATGATGGAGACCCTGAGCAGGGAAGAGACCAGAGGCTTCCTGGAGGAAGCAGGGGCATTAACAGCCTCACAGCACCTGAACACGGGTCTCACCTATGTCTGAACAGACACAGCTGAACTGAGGCTCATGAAGCTGGGGGAGAGGTGCCATGGTGGCTTCCAGCATCCCGAGTGAAACAAGTTTCTGGTCCTACTGAGCAGGGAGCCATGGAGGGGCTCTAGCTGGAAGCTGGTCCGGGAGGGTGAGGGTTACTCCAAAGAACTTTAGAGGGGACACACAGGACCATCAGCAATCATTGCTCTGGTCCACAAGGGGCAGGCAGGACAGGCAGGTGGCCTCTGAGCTACTTTTAGGTTGGGAGAATCTCAGCAAGACTCCCACTGAGGTGCCTTTGGGAGAGGAGCAAGGCTGCCAAGGCTGGGAGATTTTTTTCCCCATCTCTCTCCTAACCCCACTATCCTCCTTGGATCCCCAAACCTCCTCCCCTTTCCTCCACTACACCCCTAGCCCAGGGTCCCACGCCCCAATGTCTGGAAGCCTGACCCAAAAAGACGGATGTGTAAATCACTGGCCCACAAGTGCCACTGCCTAGGCCAGGTAAGATGTTCCACTGTGGCGCTGCAGCCACACCTGTTACCCTTATCTGTGCCTGCAGACACTCCAAGGGACAGGTCAGTTAAAAGGCTAAGCAAGCACTGAGACCAGGCCCCAGGGCTCTCTCTTTCCTTGCCTGACTGCTGGCCCACCTGTCCCACCCAAGAAGGCCGATGCTGGCAGCAGAGCAGCGAAGCTGTCTGGGGGAAAAGGATCCTGTGGGTTCTGCCTGGCGTAGACCTAGCTCTGCTGCTTACATGCTATGTGACAAATTCCTTCCTCTCTCAGGGCCTCAGTTTCCCCATGTGAAGAGTGAGGGTGTTGGACAAGACGGCCAACAGAGGCCCCCACCTCTTTGACTTTTGGGGGGTTCTTGTATGCTCTGAAACTCAATTGCCTGAGTTTGAGGCCCAGTTCCTTCACCTTCCACCCATGGGATCTTGAACACATTATGTGACCTCTTTGGGCCTCCCTTTCCACATTTTGTCAAAGGAACGTTACACACACCTCATGAGATGGAATAAATGCCACGTGCCAAGTGTCCAGCACACAATAGGCACTCAGGAACCATGAAGCCGAGACTCGGCAGATCGACACTCCAGGGCCCATGGCCCAGGTGCCCTACCATGGTATCCCAAGGGCCAGGACCAGATCTCTGAGGTTCTGCCTCCTTGGCACGAACTTTCTCTTCATCCACCCTCCCACAACCCTAACCCTAACCCTACATCCCAAGCTAGGAGCCTCAGGCAGAGCAGACAGGCTGGGTGACAATAGTGCAGAGAGGCCACATGGAGGCAGCAGAGAACCCCACAATCTGGGACTCCTGGCAGCAGGGGAGGGGGAAGGTGTCTGAAAATGGGACAAAGGGGCTGGAAATCGGCACTTGTCTATAGGACCGCCACCCAAATATGCAGTATTCTTGCAAGCATTTGTTCCTTGGCTCATTTCTTGAATTTCTTTTGAGCCAGTCCATCTTCCTTCCTCCTCTTTTTCCCACTTGTCTTTTTCCCTCCCTTCCCTTGCTTGTCCAGCCAGGCGGTCAACTAGACATAATATCCTGAGCTACCAGAAAGTGTCAGTGGTGGTCCCTGCCCTTGAGAAGGTCACAGTCTGGAGAGGGGCCTGAGAGATTTGGTAAGAACATCCCACGGAGGAAACAAGCCAGACTAAGGACTGGCCACCTCTGCTGTTCTTGGGTCTACAGGACAGTCACTGTAAGGACTCGGCTTGGGATTGAGTGGGGTTGGGGAGAGGCTAAGGAGACTGAGTCACCCACAGGCTGGAAATCAGCAGCAGCCAGAGTAAACAGTAAAATAGCCTGTGGTACCTTGGCCAGGCAGACTGTGACCTGAGCCATCTTCCCACTCCAAAATTAAACTCCATGAAAAAAGTGTGGTCCAGATCCCAACATGTCTGAGATTTGGGAAATTCCCTGCCATCCAGGCCAATGGCCATGACCCAGTGACTACTCTGCCTCCTCCGGAAGCATAGCATTGGATAGGAGTAAGACTGAGCTTCAACTTGGGGCCCAGATCCTGGCTCTGCAGCTTGCTGACCTGAGATAAGCAGTGTCTCTCTAAGGCTCAGATCCAAACCTATAAAATAGGAAGCAGGCAGCAGATGGTCTGCTCAGCCCACCTCACCATCCAAATGCTAAATGTTGTAATGCATATGGTGTGGTGTTGGGGAAGATTCCTGCTAATTTCAATTTGACCTCTTCTTAGCTGTGAAGCTTAGAAAAGAACTTAACCTCTTGAGCCCCAAGTTCTTCATCTGTAAAATGGGGCTAACAGTTCCTGCCTCCTAGGAGACAGGGCCTGCACTTGGTTTGCAACCCACTAATGGGTGCTGTGATTATTAGGAAATGTTCAGAGAAACTATAATGCGCGACAGCCATCAAGTGTGTCATTAGAGTGATTATCCCTATAGTAACCAAGGACAACCGCCTCTGCCTGACTCTGAGCTCCCTCCACCCTTGGTCTGGCCCCACCTTGCCTGACAACAGCAGCAGTGGGAAGCAGAGGGGATGACAACAAGGCTGGCAGCTGATCTCAGGGGACCAGCCCATTCCTCACCACTCCTTGGGGCGGGGAGCTCTGCTCAGGAACTACACACCCAGCCTAGTACCAACTCACTCCCCAGCCCCAGAGCAGTTTCGAGGAGAAAAGGGTGGAGTCTTCCTGGGGAGGTTCCCTCCCTCCAGGTGAGGCCTTGTCTAGCCTTCTGACCACAGCCCTGAAGGTGAGCCAGGCACAGGAATTGGTGAGCTGGATACTGCCTCTCTCTGCTCTGGGGACAGTGACTCCTGCCCAGGCTGCCTCTTTGGGCCACAGTGAAATTCAAAGGGGTCTAAAACTGGCCATGGTGGCACACACCTGTAATCCTAGCACTCTAGGAAGTTGAGGCAGGAGAATCATAAATTCAAGCCCAGCCTGAGCAATTTGGAAACTTAAGGAGACACTGTTTCAAAATAAGAAATGAAAAGAAGGGTATGTGATTCAGAACTGGTTCAATCCCCAGTACCAAGAAAAACAACATCAAAGGGGGCTGACACTGCCTGATATCAAACTGCCCGACACTGAATTCCATGGAGGATGAAGCCATAACCAATGTGGGGTTGAAAGTGAAACCCAAAGACTTTGGCCCCCTGTTTCTTTAAGCTTTAGTAGAAGTACCTGGCCCTAGCTCTAAGGCAGTGATGGAGAACATTTTAGAGACTGAATGCCAAACTGCAACCCCAAACCCGCTTATTTATCACAAAGTACCAATACTGCAATTAAACCTGAAGTTTTACTTTAGAAAAAACAATTCATACATTAATATCTTTTGTCTTAAAAGAAAAACAGAATAACAAGTGTGCCATGAGTTCATCACCACTGCTGTAGGGTGACGCTGTGCCCATTTTTAAAAGATCTAAACTGGCCACTGAGGGCAAAAGCGGCAAGGTAACAGCGTTTTCAGTTTGATACTGGATTTATTCCTGGCAGCCACAGTGCCCCACTATCCAAGTGCTCGCTCCCCAGTCAAGTCTTGCCCTCTGCCTGCCATAGGGAAGGATCCCTATAGCAGAGGATCCCCTCACTCTGGCCCCCATACCTTTGCAACCTTGCTCCCTTTGGAACATCCTTTCTCCCTCCCCTATCTGCAGCTTGATTTTGCTCCCAAGACTCTGAGCTCCTAGGTCAGAAGGGTTTCCTGCCTCCCTAACCAGAGTGAAGATCCCCTTTTCCCTACTCTTGTCCCAAGGACTGTTCCTATGCCCAAACACCTCAGCACTCTGATGTCCGTCCAGACCCACAGCCTAGGCTATGAACTTCCCAAGGCAGGAACTTTGTCTTGAATGATTCAGGATCCTTGGTCCCTTGGAAACTGGAGGATCATCTCTGTTGATTAAATTCTAACAATGACTCGCAGCACCAACCATATGCTGGACCCTGCCCTAAGCAGGTCCCATCAATATCCTTAAGTCATGCGCCAGCCAGGGTGGCACAGGTGGTCACTCACCTGCAGCCAAGCTTCCTGGTGCTGGTTGAAAAGGGCAGGGCCGGCCTGGCAGTGTGAATCACTGACCCACAAGGGCATATCCAGCCACCTCTACCACCTGGCCTGAAACACCTGGGCCCCAGGAATGCAAATTCATTCTGTAAAAGTCACCACCCTCAGTGCCATCTTCTTCCTCCCAGAGAAAGTGGGCCGGGTGCCTCCTCCCGCCTCTGCAGCCATCCCATTATCTGTCAGCTACAAGCCCAGGGTGCCCTCTTGAGGGTATAGGTCCCTCCTGTGCCTCAGCGCCCACATACAGAGCTCAAGTGTTCCTGGAGCAGCTGAATGGGACCAAGGAAAGCGCCCCGAGCCAGCCCCGCACTCTCGCCACCCACCGCGCACCCTCGCCAGCACTAAAACCTCTCACCTGGGCTGGAGACC